GAAAGGCAGTTCTCTATAATAAAATGGTTGCCATATTGGTAAGCATAATCAATATGAGGGCCAGTCCCTGTGCTCCTCAGAGTCAAAGTTGGCATATATGGCACGCCTGTATGCAAAGCTTGTGTGCAAAGCCTCCATTTAAAACTCATTAAAAGCAAATACCTGAAAAATATTACCGTCAATCGTGGTCGGTACATTCAAGATTATGTTTTTATGAATGCTGCCGTGTGTAACTTGAGGTGCGTATGCTAATTATTCTGCATGGAGGTTGTTCTGTCCATACCCTCAGAAGTTTTCATAGCGAAATGTATGTAGAAAAACAGATGCAGGCAAAGTTCCAGGTCAAATCAGTAGAGAGAGGAGTCGGAGTAAAATAAAAATGCTTGTTATTCAATGCATCTTTCCAGCAATGAAAACCTACATTTGAATAAAGGCTAAATATAAAATGTTGCCGTTCTATGGAAGAAACCAGCTTATTACTTAATGTAAACAACCTCCGCCACAATGTTACGAAAGGCATCTTTGAAGCTGTGGTACAAGACATTATTTTTTCATAAATTGTATATATTTTTTCCAGCAGAGAGAGTCTTGTAAAAGTAAAATGCTGTGAACAAATCAAACCATATAATTTCCAAAAACATGTTATCTTTGGCACGTCTGTAAGAAAGAGCCCTGATGGTTTACTGTAGGCAGAGAGCTGATTGGCTGTGTGACTGTGGTCCTCTCTTTTTCATATAAATATGTATAAAGTCACGGAGGCCATGTAAAAACTACTGACACGTACATTGCTCGGTGAATAAGCAAACGGTTATAGGAAATGAAGGCTCCTATTTCAGCGTTCTTGTCTCTAATGGCTGTAGCAGAAAGCGAGGTAATTTTGTCTTTTGTTGGTTTTGTGCTGAGATACTGCAATGTAAAGAGAATTAGCTGTGTTTGTATACGGGCTCCGATAACGGCGCCTCATTTTAGAGAAGGATAAATGCTGTTTGTCCTGTTGCCGCACGCTACAACTTCACCAAAGTCTCACTCCTCCTTGTTCTAAACCCTGCATCCAACTTATAGACAGAGCTATAGATAGAGGGATAGAAAACACATCAGTACATCAATTATAAACATTTCTAACTAACTATCTAACAACAGTGCATATTTTAAACTCATCCAGGTCTGTTGTTCAGTCTGACAGCCGAAGGAACAAAAGATCTCTTAAAATACTCTGTTCGGCAGCGCAGTGATAGGAGTCTGTTGCTACGGTTACTCCTCTGAGCGGGCAAAGTGTCATGCAGAGGGTGTCTGGAGTTACCCAGGATGCCCTGCACTAGAGCCCTCGTCCCGTATTCATAATATGGTAGAATAGAGTGCTCGTGAAGGCCTCGGACTATACATAGTTCCCACAGACCAATGAATGTCACATGACCTCCTCGGAGACGCCATCTTTGATGGCACGCTGCTGTGTTTGTGCATTCCATTAAACAGAAGAATGAGAATAAATGTAGATATTCAAACGCAAATTGGAAAAAAAGGGCAACTTTTGAGCAAATAATTGTATATTAATACAATGGCACCACAGTTTAACGTGCTACGGACATGTTTTACATATTTGATCAAATTATGCAGCAAAAATTAACAAGCAATGCAAACATTTCTCAAAAACTTTAGATTTAATACCATGGCGGCACGGTGGCTGAGTGGATAGCACTCTCGCCTCTCAGCAAGAAGGTCCTGGGTTCGAATCCCGGTCGGACCAGGGCCTTTCTGAGTGGAGTTTGCATGTTCTCCCCGTGTCTGCGTAGGTTTCCTCCGGGTACTCCGGTTTCCCCTACCACTAAAAATATGTCCAATAGTTCTGGCATGCGCTTCATGTACTGGCGACCCCGCTCCCATCTCTGTGGTGAGTGAGAGACAAATGCCCAAAAATTAACAATTGTAAACCGCTTTGAGACTCAGATCTGCAGTGAAAAGGCGGTATATAAATAAAAACTTACTTACTTACTTACAGTTGGAGCTCCATTTAATTATTTTAATTATATTAACAATTAATTTAATTAATGCTAATGCCACACGGACACTCTGGATTGCTGTTATTGTTTATTTCCGCGTTTTTGACCGTATGTTTTGGTGAATGGTGGGCAACTGATTTTTCCAGGCGTAAAGAGCAGTTTATTTTATGACACAGATCTTTTTACAGAAGCAATGCTGTTTGTGAACATTGTTTTAGCCCACCATAGAACTATTATTATCTATTTCAGCCATTCCCAAACTCAGTAACACCGAGGCCCCCTTAAAAATCTGACGGGTCTGAGTGGCCCCCCAAAATAATAACCAAGAAGACAACATTAAGAATAGGCTCTTCTGGTTATTTTATTTTGGGGAAATAGCCTCTGCTACAAACATTGTAATACAAAAATGATTACAGTGGATTATTCAAGTCAAATAATGAACACAAATATTTTAATATTACAAACAAAACATTATAAATTTAACATTAAATAATTATATTATTTTTTTATTTTTTTTATGACCTCCCGCGGCCCCCCTGCAGTACCCTCGCGGCCCACCAGGGGGCCGCGGACCCCACTTTGGGAGACACTGATCTATTTAATACATTTACGTTGCCCTCGAGAGCCTCGGACGCGACACCGATCCTCCTCATAATAAAGTAATCTAAATAATGAAACTCTCAAGTTACCAGATATCAGCATACACAAGTTAGTACTGAGTAAATTACGTCTGTCAACACATTATGAGATACGATACGCACCTGACACAAAGTGCTCCGAGCATATTCTTGCGTGTTTTGAGGGAGTTTCTTGCCTGTTTATCTTCGCAAGCCATAACCTCCGTGGTTGTTCTGACAAAAGCTTAGTCTTCTCACATTCATGAAGTCTAATGATGGGTATACTGTAAAATCCAAGTTTAACGGAACCTCCGGCACGATTTGAACATCCATTGACCCAGCAGGAGATGACCATTTTCAACTTTATCACGACATTAACACGTATCAGCTTCTTTTTCTATTGTTTTGCCCACAGCATGCCAACACAAATGGCGCCGGGTCGGCAAATCCCCGTATGTAGTGACGTCATGTGGGAACTATGTATACTCATTTCTTTTGTGTTAGTTTTTTTTGTTTCTTCTTAATGCTGGAGTCAGATATTGTATTTTTACTTTATTTAGTACAAACTTATTGTTCTCATTCCCACTGTTCTGATGCAGCACTGAAATGTCCCAACTGTGAGACAAATAAGGAATCTCTTCATCTTTCTTTATGGCTGTTTTATGCAGCACTTTGTACACACTTTTTTTTCCTTAAAGCACCACATAAATAAAGATATATCATTATTATTATTATTATTATTTTATCTATAAGGTATAACTCAGAGCCCAATTTTACCAATAAAAACTGTGAATATTATCTACTAAAATGCATGTATGAAAAGTGGATTCAATTATTTAGTTAACAGTAAAATATGTAATTCATTAGCAATTGAAACAGCATGTGCACAATGAGGATCTGGATCGATAGAGAATATTCCTCCTGAGGTCTCATCCTGGTTTATCTAAAGCCATAATCAATCAAAGCAGCATGTGGCCTGTGGATCCAATCGTAGCAATGATGGCAGAGAAAAGTGTTCCACAAACACATAAAACATCCAATATGAGCTTTAAAGTTCAATACATAGGAAACAACGTATGTATAATAGCACCGTATATTCAGTCCGTGAGTGCTGTGTTACCCCCGTGAAGACAGACACAGGCTGGGGTGTAACATTGGGTTTTTTTATTCTGTAAACAGAAACATATATAGTTTTCAGACGCGGCTTTGCCTCCGTGGACTTCAGTTGAAAACCTTACGCAGAACTGAGCTAACTCTGCCTTTATACTATGCAGACTCATATTTTAGTTATAACACAGTTGCTTGTCTTACAGTCTCTTTAACATGTTTTTTACAAAAAGAAAAACAAGCTTAAACTTGACATAAACGTTACAAATTACAGATCTCCAGTACAATAAAAGTACTTATTTACCAATAGACCAGTCACAATATATCTACTCAACTACTACGATGAACCTATATAGGTAATAGAAAATAACTGCAACAAATCGGACCAACGTCTATATTTAACTGGACGCTAACGGTAGTTAGCAGTTAACGTTTTGTACAAAGAACCTAAAAATACAATTTCAATAAATAAAACATCGTCCCGAAATTACAAGTAGTCCCACTAATGTTACCCATAGAGTGCTTAGTGTACTTAACCCACCTGTAAACAGAAACATATATAGTTTTCAGACGCGGCTTTGCCTCCGTGGACTTCAGTTGAAAACCTTACGCAGAACTGAGCTAACTCTGCGCGAGACCAGGACGTTAGTCTCCTACTTACGTGCCACTACTGCCATCTTCTGGCGCAAATTAACATAGCACCAGAAACGGGTAAATAGTACACAGCCAAAATTAAGAAACATTAGTAGTAAAATAAAAGGGTTAATTAAAATGAAAATTAATTGGGGGGTATCTTATTATACTTAAACAGTCCTGGGGGCCACACCCTCCCCTGCTTAATAAAAGGAAAAAAAAAAATGCTGTCTCATTTTTTTTTTTCTCTACTCCAAAACAGTGTCCCTTGAGCTTAACTGGTGGTTATATATCACATTTTTAGCATTGCTTATAGGAAAAAAAACTTGCAATTACCTTTTAGTAGACATTTGAATACTATACCAAGTAATACTAAAATTTCTGTTGGAATAACCAGATTTCTTCTCAAGATGAATAAACAAGTTCACCTTACTGTGAATAATACCTTTTACCATTGTAACCAGACACATAAACGGCCAACTTTATCACTTTGTCTGTTACCATATCATCACATTGTTTAAATGTAGACACTGTTGCATATGTGCAATATACTCAACTTAGTCTCCCTGAGTTGCACTTCAGCATTTTCGGAATAACTTGCATTTCTTGTTGCAGTCTTATAGTGTCTGTGTCACTCTACTAGTCTTTAATAAGCTGCTTGCGTGGTGTCGGACGCCCATGGTCTCCAGAGTCTCTGTGAGCATGTGGGTGGGACACTCACCTCGATACAGTCCATACCCACTGGTCTCACGGTCGGGTGTCCGAGCTGGTGATAGGAGAGGACCTGGGGCCGCCGCCGCTCCCTCTGAGGGTATATGTGGGTAGCAGATGTCGACCACTGCACATCAGAGTCTCTGCCTCTCTGCTGGGGCGCATCTTCCTCCGAAGGATTGTCGCTGAGCTGCTCCTGGTCTGCCTCACCGGCTGCTGCCAGTTGACCATCTTCTGCTGCGGTGGCCTGGTCGTCATGGTGATGAGAGTCTACCGCCTGGGGTTGGTCCAGCTGCTGCTCCAGCTCAGGTTCGGGAGTGTGCACCTGAGCTCTGCTTTCCTCACGAATCCGCAGGCGAGGAGATCTCCAGACAAGAGCGCCTTCTTCATCACTGTCCGTGTCTGTGGCCTCTTGTAATGCCTCTTCTTGTCTCCTTTCTTTAGTTCGTGTCTTCTTCTTTTGTTTGCTCTGCTGTTTGTTGTCCAGTCCTTCCACAGGTAAGCTGTCACATGGGAGGAGCAGGTTTCTGTGTACCGTACGGCTTTTACCCCCTTGTTCTGGCTTTATTTCATAAACAGGCATGTCAGGGCTTTTCTGGGCAACTATCACATACACAGAATCTTCCCAGTATGAACGGAGTTTACCAGGCCCCCCTCTCTCTTTGAAGTTGCGAAGGAGGACTCTGTTACCTGGATACAGCTGAACACCATGTGTCTTTTGGTCATAATAGTGTTTGCCTCTGAAAGCTTCTTTCTGTGCCGCCTTTGATGCAATCTGATAAGCCTCTCTCATTTGTGACTGCCATTTCTGTACATACTCCTCATAGCTGATTTGTTGTTCTCGGATGGGCAAGTTGAACAGGATGTCTACTGGGAGTCTGGGAGTGCGGCCGAAAAGCAGGTAATATGGTGTGAACCCAGTGGCATCGCTCTTAGTGCAATTATAGGCATGCACGACTTTGGCCAGTGATTCTTTCCAGTCTGCTTTCTCACTGTCTGTCAGGGTTCTCAGCATGGAGAGCAGGGTCCTGTTGAAACGCTCTACCTGCCCGTTCCCCTGTGGATGGTATGGGGTAGTGTGGGAACCACGGAGACCACAGACTTTCTGGAGCTGGGCAAACAGATGATTTTCAAATTCTCGGCCCATGTCGTGGTGGATTCTCACTGGAAAGCCATACTTCAAAGCAAAGTGGTTAAAGATTTTGTCCACCACTGTCTTAGCTGACTTGTTCTTTGTAGCATATGCCTCTGCAAAGCGCGTAAAATGATCCATTACCACCAGGATGTATTCGTATCCGTGCTTGCATGTCTCTAAATGTAAAAAGTCAATCGACACCAGTTCAAAGGGATATGTTGTGGTAATAGATGTGAGTGGGGCTCTGTTTGCTCTATTGGGGCGTTTTCTTTTTAGGCACTCACAGGCATGCATAACAAAATGCTCTACATCGTTTTGCATTCTTGGCCAGAAAAATCTGTCCCTTATCAGTCCCAACGTTCTTTCTGCCCCCAGGTGTCCCATCTCTCTGTGTAGCTCAGTGAAGACAGTATTATGGTGTTCTTTTGGGAGGAGGAGCTGGTCTCTACCCTTAACTCGCCTGTAGAGGACGCCATCCTCGTTAACGTGTAGTTTGTTCCACTGTCTCAGGAGGATTTTCACATCAGGGGACTCTTTCTTAAAAGCTTGACCTTTGGGCATGAACTCACTGATTTTGTAGTTCAGGACAGGCCCAATGACAGAGTCTTTTTCTTGGCTGGCCCTGATTTCAGCTTGTGAGAGTGTCTTGTCTGGGGGTGCCGCTGTGTCTTGGACTAGACTGATGGCCTGTTCACTGATGATATAGTTCTCTGGACCTGCGCTTTTTTTCTGGAAACAAACACTATCAGCAGCCGCTTTAATGACATCCTGTTTTACTTCAGCAGTGCACTGTGCCATGTACTGATTAATGTCAAGAGGTAATCTGGACAGGCCGTCTGCATCAGCGTTTCTCTTACCGGGCCTGTATCTGATGGTAAAGTTGAAGTCGGCCAATTCCCCTACCCAGCGATAACCAGTTGCATTCAGTTTTGCTGTGGTGAGAACGTAAGTTAAAGGGTTATTGTCCGTGTAAACAACAAAATGAGGGGCATAAAAGAGGTAATCTCGAAAGCGTTCACATATCGCCCACTTTAAAGCTAAAAATTCTAGCTTCCCAGAATGCATGTGATAGTTCTTTTCTGGGGGTGTTAGTGTGCGTGAACCGTAGGCTATTACCCTCAGTTTACCTGCTTGGTGCTGGTACAATACGGCCCCTAGGCCCTCTTGGGAGGCGTCACAGTGGAGTATAAAGGGCTGTGCAAAATCTGGATACCCCAAAATGGGTGGCTCTGTTAAACAGTCTGTGAGCTTGTTTAAAGTCCCTTGGTGGTTTTCAGTCCAGATAATGGGTGTTCTAGGTGGTGGTCGCCCTTTGTGTTTAGCACTAACCTTTCTACCCGTCTTAGGCACATGTGGTGGCGGCTGAGCTATGGGCAGGGTCAGGAGCTGGTAAAGTGGTTTGGCAATCTTTGAAAAGTTTGGGATGTATGACCGGTAGTATGACAGGAAACCCAAGACACGACTCAGCTCACCTACAGTGCTTGGAGGGTTGTCTTTGAGTGCCTGAACCGGGGCTATTTCAGCTGGATCCATCGTGTACCCCTGCTCTGACACCATCCGTCCCAGGAACCGGACCTGTCTCTTAAAAACATCACACTTATGAGGAGTGAGCTTCACACCATGTGTTTGGTACCTCTGCAGCACATCACGGATATGTTGTAGGTGAGTTTCGAATGATGGAGAGTGGACTAAGTTATCATCCAAATAGGGCTGACAGATGGCATCACGCAGTCCCTTTAAACAGTCCTCCATACTCCGTTGAAACTCTGCTGGAGCTGAGCTGAGGCCAAACGGTATGCGGTTCCACTGGTACAGGCCCCATGGAGTAATGAAAGCTGTCAGGGGGCGACTACCTGGATCTAGGAAACCCTGATGATAGGCTTTGCCCTGATCAAGCACTGAGAACCAGGAGCTGCCGTGAAGAGAGTCCAACATGTCCTGAATCCTCGGGATGGGGTGCCTGTCTGGTACTGATTTCCTGTTGAGTTCCCTGTAGTCACAGCATAGCCTCAATTCACCTGACTTTTTCCTGACACAGACGATTGGAGATGAGTAGGACGATCTTGACTCTGAAACCCACCCTCTGTTTAACAGGTCTTGGAGATAGGCTTTAACTTCTTGGTGCAGGGGCTTCGGGACTGAAACATATGTCTTTTTCACAGGAGTAGTGTCATGGAGTGTGATGTGCATATTTAAAGACGGGATACATCCTACATCTTTGTCATCATAAGCAAAAGCGTGACACTCCTCGTGTAGCAGCTGCTTTACTACTTGCTGCTGGTGAGGACTGAGATGGTCAAGTTTAACTGGGGGATCCCACTGAGGTGGCTTATTGTGGGAGTGGGAGTTGCTGGTAACCTCATTTACCCGGGCCTGAATACCACAATCCTTATCGAGTCTCTCAGGTGTGTTTTCAGGACTTTGGGCTGTAACTGGATACACTGCTTTAATTTCTTCTAGGTGACCCAGAATGGTGTGAGGAGACAAGGTAAGGTCTTGCTTGTTTGCATTTACAATGTATATAGGGATATATACTGACCTCCCCTGTGTGACAGTAACTAGTCCTTCTTGTATCACCAGGCCCTCAGGTAGCTGTGACAGTTCATCTGGAACAAAAAGGACACTTTGGCCTGCATACTGGGCTCCTACATTTGCACAGATGTAGGCGGTGCTTATTTGAGCTGCTGGCAGGCGAATCTCCTTCTTCCCTGTGTGAGCTGTTCCAACCCTTTCATTGCCTCGGTTAGTCTGCAGAATCTTGACTATGGACCTGGCTGCTTTGACTGACACGGAGAATGTCTGACTGATTTTCTGTATATGCTTTGTTCTCAAATGTCCTTTGTCCCACAAGCCCACTACTTCTTCAATTACATTGAACCCTATAATAGGTTGTTCTGCAACGTTGGAATCACTTGAGACTAAAATGGGAACAAGCAATGTCTTTGTGGGGTGGGTGTCACAGTCCAAGTAAAATTCAGTCTCTATCCAGCCAATGTATGGTATTTCAGTACCGTTCGCTGCTAAGGCTACAAGTGGTTCAGATAAGAGTTCTGCAAGGGGTCTTAGTATGCTGAGAGGGAGGTGTTTCTTTCTCCATTCATCGTTTATTAAACTTACCTGAGCCCCGGTGTCCCATAGAGCTTCCACTGGTACATTATCAAGTTGGCACTGGACAACACATCTTCTTCCGATGAGACTGATGAGCTTGGTTTGGCGCTGTGAGGGCATGTAACAGTTAGACTGTGGAGAAATCATTGTGTCTTGGTGCTCACCTGATGGTTTTAGTAAGCATTCAGGGTTGGCCTGTAGGGATGCAAAGTCAATGTGGGACCTGGAAAGTGGCTGGGCTACTGTTGGTCCCCCTCCAGCAACCCCTTCCCGTTTCCCTGCAAATTTCTCTGTCTGCAGCCACGAGAAAGATGTCCTTCTTGTCCACATCTGAAGCAGTGTCGACAGGTGTCACCAGTCCCAGCTTCTCTGCATGCCTGGCATCCTTTAGCTCTAGCGAATGTGCGCTTTGGTGCCGCTGCCCCAGACTCAGTATACAGTTTCTTAATTTCCTGGACATCTGCTTTGAGACCTTCAATCAGCTTCACAGTCTCTGGATCTGGCCCTCTACTCTGCACTTTCTTCTTGCTACTTTTGTCACTTCCTTTACTCTGTCTTTCATCTTGTATGTCGTTGTCACTGTCTTGTGATGGATAGTTATGAATGGGCTGCACCTCTGCTTGTATTTCATTTACTCTGGGTGGTTTGACTGGTACATGTCTTTTAAGTTTGTTTTGTCGCTCTATTTCAAGGCTTGAAGCTTCATTTATCTTTTCAATTAAAACTTCATCTCTCACATTTGGTGTGCTCAGATATGGTTTTAACTGGAACTTTACTGCTTCGCTCAACAAACCTGTCTCGAGGGACCGCAGGAATTTGCGTTGGATCAGATTTGGGCTGAACTGTTCCCCTTCATCTTCTTCGCCAGACTTGTAGAGCAGTTTCTCTCTCAACTCTATTGCTCTAAACAGGAATGCTTGAGCAGACTCTTTAGGGTCTTGGGAAATGTTCATGAGCCTGTGCAGCAGGTCTGATGATGAGTCAACTTTGTAGTGTCCTCTTAAGATGATTTTGAGAGTGGAGAGCGTGAGGTCCCGCTTCACTTCCAGCAGATCTCTGAGATGAAGGCCAGGGCTGACAGCTTTGATGACAGCTTCGATGATTTCGTATTCAGAGTATCCCTTCTTGATGCCTGACTCAATCTGATTATTTAGACTGGTGAAAGAAAGCTTGTCTTTCTGCCCCGCTTCCCCAATCTGGCCCCATATTTTAAAGTCTTTCTTTAATGTGACTTCAGGCACTCTGTGGGTTGCAGGTGGATTTGCCCCTCTTTCACTGGTTGCTGCCATGCTATTCAGCTTTGCCCCCAAAGCTCCAATCTTCTCCTCCAGAATGCGACGTTCTTCTGCCTGCGCCTTCTGAAGTTGCTCGTATTCCTGCTTAAGTTTTTCAATAGCAGCATTCTCTGACTTTTGCGATTTAGGTTCAACTGTATCATGTGCTCCGAATGACTGTACAACTGACTTGAGTTCATTAACAAACTCTAGGAACGCCAGGGGGTCACCATCTTCATCATCTTCAATTTCAACAATTGTGTATTCCACCACCTTTATCAGAGCGCGGCGGGTCATTCCATCAAACCCTTCACCTGCCGGTCTACTGCACTTAAGATGATGGCACACTTTGATGAGCTCTGGTTTCCCCAATGTCCACAGTGTTGCGATGATCTCATCCAGTTCTTGTTCCATGTTGATTTTTGTTTTACTTCTAGGTTCGACTCTCGGGTAGGTTGTCTCAGGAAGCTTCTTTTAGCTCCTGGCTGGCTCGCCAAGATTATGTTACCCCCGTGAAGACAGACACAGGCTGGGGTGTAACATTGGGTTTTTTTATTCTGTAAACAGAAACATATATAGTTTTCAGACGCGGCTTTGCCTCCGTGGACTTCAGTTGAAAACCTTACGCAGAACTGAGCTAACTCTGCCTTTATACTATGCAGACTCATATTTTAGTTATAACACAGTTGCTTGTCTTACAGTCTCTTTAACATGTTTTTTACAAAAAGAAAAACAAGCTTAAACTTGACATAAACGTTACAAATTACAGATCTCCAGTACAATAAAAGTACTTATTTACCAATAGACCAGTCACAATATATCTACTCAACTACTACGATGAACCTATATAGGTAATAGAAAATAACTGCAACAAATCGGACCAACGTCTATATTTAACTGGACGCTAACGGTAGTTAGCAGTTAACGTTTTGTACAAAGAACCTAAAAATACAATTTCAATAAATAAAACATCGTCCCGAAATTACAAGTAGTCCCACTAATGTTACCCATAGAGTGCTTAGTGTACTTAACCCACCTGTAAACAGAAACATATATAGTTTTCAGACGCGGCTTTGCCTCCGTGGACTTCAGTTGAAAACCTTACGCAGAACTGAGCTAACTCTGCGCGAGACCAGGACGTTAGTCTCCTACTTACGTGCCACTACTGCCATCTTCTGGCGCAAATTAACATAGCACCAGAAACGGGTAAATAGTACACAGCCAAAATTAAGAAACATTAGTAGTAAAATAAAAGGGTTAATTAAAATGAAAATTAATTGGGGGGTATCTTATTATACTTAAACAGTCCTGGGGGCCACACCTGTCGTGAATTTAATTTATCTTGTCCCGTTATTCCCAACACACGCTAAGGGAAATTGTTGAAGCAAAAGATAGATATATAGATAGATAGATACTGTAGATACAGTGCCTTGCGAAAGTATTCGGCCCTCTTGAACCTTTCAATTTTTCGCCACATTTCAGGCTTCAAACATAAAGATATAAGAATTAAATTTTTTGTCAAGAATCAACAACAAGTGGGACACAATCGTGAAGTGGAACAAAATGTATTGGATAATTTAAACTTTTTTAACAAATAAAAAACTGAAAAGTGGGGCGTGCAATATTATTCGGCCCCTTGCCCTAATACTTTGTAGCGCAACCTTTTGCTGCAATTACAGCTGCAAGTCGCATGGGGTATGTCTCTATCAGTTTTGCACATCGAGAGACTGGAAATCTTGCCCATTCTTCCTTGCAAAACACCTGGACACCTGGATACGTCTATTTGTGAACCTTTTTGACTGTTGCACTGAGCCAAAGCAATTTCCTAGTCTGTGACCTCCTGTTACTTACGTGGCAATAAAAATGATTCTGATTCTGATTCTGATTCCATTGTAGATTTGGCTTTATGTTTTGGATCATTGTCCTGTTGGAAGATAAATCTCCGTCCCAGTCTCAGGTCTTTTGCAGACTCCAACAGGTTTTCTTCTAGAATGGTCCTGTATTTGGCTCCATCCATCTTCCCATCAATTTTAGCCATCTTCCCTGTCCCTGCTGAAGAAAAGCAGGCCCAAACCATGATGCTGCCACCACCATGTTTGACAGTGGGGATGGTGTGTTCAGGGTGATGAGCTGTGTTGCTTTTACGCCAAACATATCGTTTTGCATTGTGGCCAT